ATTAAATTCTTTCTCTTCTGTTCTCAGTGTTGTCTGGTGTGCAAGTGTGTAATCTGGTAATCTGGTAATTTTAATTTTAGCTTCATAGCAAACGGGTCACCCCATTTTTGCTCCGCTCCTGTGCCAACGAAAAACCCACAGAATGTTTATTACAGTCCCTTGTGGAAAGACTGACAAACTGCTGTCTCAGGAAATCTAGCATACACTCGCTTTAAAAGCATATTTTAGCCATCCGAAGTGCTAACACAAACAGTCTGACGTTAGAAATGCAGTTCATCATTGATGGTAGCAGAAGTCACCAAAAGATCAGCAGTTGTACACGCAATCAATTTTAATCAAATAATGGCCCCACCAATTTTGCGACAACCGGCATCGCGCCATTTTTTGAATCTACAAATCACACCACCTCGTTGGTCAGTCGAAAAACATTCCAAATGAAATCCGCAGCTCACAGTGTCACGCCATGCACTCAACTCAGAAGCTGGGTAACGAAACTATATACTTCCAGTCTACAAATGGAGCAAAAAAGCAACGGCCAGTCTGACAGAAGCAAAAAATTTTTGCCCCGGTGCAAAACAGTGGCAGTGCCTAGTGTTCATTTGGACCTGAAGCATTATATGAGGGTTAATAAACTGTCACCCCAGCAGTACCCTACTATTAGCTGTGGAGTATATGAGTGCTATGCCCAAAACTGAGTGGACTCCGCTGCTCGACATGGCGGCAGAGGGGTACTGATGTAGGGAGCAGACTGCTTAATGGGAAGAAATCACCTGCTACAATCTGAAAGACACGTGAACGCCCAGCCTTGAAGTTCTTTGTCAAGCTCCTCCATTTCCTATTTCTGGCTACACGTGGAACGATTTTTAATAGGATACTGCTAAACCTCATGTGGCACAACTCTTGGGCGATTTCGTTGTTGACAACAACATCCAGACCATTCTGTGGCCAGCCATCTCATCAGACATGAGCTCCATAGTAAACTTATGGAATGAACTCTGTCAGCGAGACACGGCTCCTGCCAAACTCCAGCAGCTGTTTCTTTTACTCCGAAAAGAACAAGAAGCCATCCCACAACAATAAAGCCAACAGCTGATCAGATCAATGCCAAAGAGATTCCGCTCTCCACCAGAGGCTATAGGAGGCCGTACACACTACTGAAACGGAGTCCCAGTAGCCAAGAATACAAGTTAAACTAAATGTAATTAACATCACTGCAAATGTAAAATGTTTTCATGTGAAGATAAAGTAATGGTCCCTTTTCCACGCCTTTAGGCTTTTTGGGAATATAGGGCTAGACCTATAGTTTTATAGACCAATCGGCACTAGGTGGGTGATGTGATCAGCATCACGCCGGCCGCCTTTACTTTCCAGGACTGCACTTGGTATCCACTCAAGGCCAATGACCACGGTCATTTTTGAAAAAAAGTCCGGCTCCGTCAGGACGCGAACCCACAATCTTCCGATCCACAGGCGGGCGTTTAGCCACCATCGTCACTGCGACTTCCCTTCATGTCAAGATATACACATTAATTCTGTCAAATTGAGTAGTTAGCATTTTTTGCATATTTTCTCCAGGTGATGCAGAAGGCATTCGACCGTGTGGACAGAGATGTGCTGTGGAGAATTCTTGACGATTACGGAGTGCAGGGTCAATTATTAGACAACATCAGAGCCATCTATGAAGAAAGTGCAGTAAGAACATCTAGTGGTCTTTCTGAATGGTTCAAAGTCACAACTGGTGTCAGACAAGGATGTGTACTGTCACCATTACTTTTCATAACATACATGGATAAGATCACTGTAGAAGCAAACCCAGACGTGTATGCTATAAACGAATTACTTTTTGCTGATGATCAAAGCATACTGTATCAAAATGAATATGATCTACAGGAACATCTGACTACTCTCAACAACAGCTGTTTACAACATAATATGAGAATCAGTACAGAAAAAACAGAAGTTATGAAGATCAGCAGAACACACAGGCCACTGAATATAAATGTTGGAAGTGCCAAAATCAAGCAAACCAAAGAGTTCAAATACTTGGGCAGTATATTTACAGAGGATGGAAGAATGGACAGAGAGATAGAAACAAGAATACAGAAAGCAAATGCTGTCACATACCAACTATCACCTCTGCTTAAACATCCAGATATAACTATGAAGACCAAAAGACAATTGATAAACACCATCTTCATTCCAACACTCTGCTACCAGTGCCAGACATGGACAATCAACAAGACCCATGAAAGAAAAATAGAAGCCTGTGAAATGAAATGTCTAAGAAAAGCAGCGAATAAGACCAGACTAGACAGGATAAAGAACATAGACATTAGAAACACTGTCAAAACTACACCATGTTTAGACTACATAGAACATCAAAGAATGAAATGGTTTGGACATCTAACCAGGATGAAAAATGACCAAATAACATCACAAATTTTCAACCAAAGAAGCTCAGGATATAAGGCAAGAGGAAGACCAAGGAAACGGTGGATTGACGGGGTCTCCGAAACCTGCCAAAAGCATGGCCTCAGAACATCAGATGCTGCCCGCCTTGCTTATGACAGGAACTTGCATCTCCCCACAACGCTTAGCGGCATACGTGGAAGGAAAAAGTAAAAAGTAAGTAAGATGCAGGTGTGTTAGGAAATGAGCAGGCAGATAGACTGGCTGGCTCTGCACCACTTGGTGGTGAACTGATGTATGACAAGCTGGATGTTGTGAGGGCCCTTTGGGAGCGAGTGAACAGTGCCGAGGCACAGATAGATCATTACGGTCTGAGGAGAATTGCACTGCGAGGAGTTACAAGGGGATCTGACCGACGCTCAACACTCAAGGGAAAGGCGAGACGGAGGTACAATCAGATAGTTACTGGTGCCATCGGAATGCGAACTCTTCGCTTGCTGCTGAAGATGGGGACAGTGTGCTTCTGACAGTGTACCGAGTTCTGTGATGTCGATTCTCAAAATAATATTCAACATTCCGACAAATAATATTTTAGTCTTGTCTTGTCTTGTCTTGTCCACAATTGCCTCACAGCGTAGTGGGGAGTCGCAGTTTTCTATCCTGGGCCAGGTGTGTTGCACGTGTTGTTGTTAGTCCGTGTTGCCTCAGGATCTCTGATATATTGTCTATCCATCGTACTCTCGGTCTGCCTCTTGCTCTAGGGCAGTAGTGCTGTTCGTTGTATGCTCGTAGAGGCAGTTGGTCGGTTTGCATTCGCATCAAGTGGCCAAACCACTCTATTTGTTGCTTCTTTATGTATTGCAGGCATGGTGTGGTTCCTACAATTGATCTAATGTTCTCGTTTCGAACTCTGTCTCTCCTTGTGACATTGGCAGCCTTACGTAAGCATCTCATTTCGCATGTCGTGATCTTTTTCTCCTCTGCTCTTGTTAGGGACCAGGTTTGGCATTGGTAGCAGAGG